AAAAAAAAAAAAAAAAAAAAAAAAGCCAAGCTTCCTGGGGTCAATCTGAGATTTTGAGTGGGAGAAACAGTCTTATTTGGTGTGAATGATAAGAAAGATTCACAAATAAATACGAAGCTATAGACTATGGTAAGTGACACGGCTACAGCAGAGTGACTGGAGATGTAACAGGATGACCTCATCACACATCAAATCAAATCAAAATCAAATTTGGGGAAATAACCCTTCTATTCCTCATGTTGAATGCCTCATAATAATCCTATCAACATGAAAAAGTGTTTAGGGCGCTTTGACCTGGCTCAAAATTCCTTCGTGACAGATATTTAACAGAAGAGGTAAAAAATCTAACAAAGAACATTTTCTCAAATCAAGGGCTCCATAGTTTAGCAATTCAAAGGAAGCACCCAGCTCGTCCACAAGCCAGGGTTCGTGCGCCATTTGTTTGGGAAGGCGAGGATGCCGAGGCTCCGTAGCACTTGCACGCAGGACCAGCACAGGCACAAGAACCCCCCGGCACAGACAGGGCCGCCCCCAGGCACCATGCAGATTCAGACAGGCTCCTGAGACGGGCACCGTGGGGGGGACCCAGCTTTGCTTCCTTCTGCTCAGATGGGGGCCAGGACAGGACATCCAGTGCACCCCAGATTTATCACCTATACAAAAGGGACACATTGTCTAATTTACAGAACTAAATGTGATAATGCGTAACGCTCAGGGTCTGATGAATGAAAATGTTCAGGCAAGGAACGTTGCTTCATTGTTACTGCTATTGTCACAATTTCTCATTTTGATATCTTAATTAAGCTACCTCGGAGATCTGTAGCCCATCAGTCCTCCCCCATGGCCAAGTTTAAGGACAGTAAGTACCTTCCGGGGGTGCAGTGCAGGCTGAATGAGTTCTAGAAAAAAGACGCTGTGGGAAAATGTTTAGTAGAATGTTACTTTTGAAATTATTTCAATGACTTCATCTTGGACTTTTCTGGATTGGCGTGATTATACTTTTGCTGCTTTAAAAAAATGTTACTGTCTTAGGCTGGGGAGATGGCTCATAGAATAAGTGCTTGCCTGGCAAGCACAAGGTCCTGAGTTCAATCCCCGGTACCGCCAAAAAAAAAAAAAAAAAAAAAAGTTACTGTGAACAAAACCTTGGATTTCACATTAGGAAGATGCAAATGGAGGATTCATTTCAGTCTTATTATGGCTTGACCTACAAATATGCTCAATGGGATTGTTTCTATGCAAACTTAAAATGATTTTTTAGTCACTTAGCAAATCATAGAGGCTAAAAGAGGAGCACTCTGCCTACCCACAGTACAAGCCTTTTAGAGAGAAGGAAAAGCCAACCCAAAAAAGTTTATCTGCAGTATCCCCATTGTGACAGAGATGCAGCAAGCCCAAGATACAGATCGTAGCCTCGAGAAATTTATCACCGAAACAAGAAACAATACAATGTAAATGAAACATCCAAAATGATCTATCCAAATCCCACACGAACTACAGCTGATACAGCTCTTGCCAAAAGAAATATTACTTTGGTCGGTGAAAATCTGTCAGAGAAAAATAAAGGAACAATTTTGAGTAACTGAAAGGACTGCTGCTGCAGGGAAGATACTGTACAGGAAAAAACGTAAGAACAAAGACGATGGCCAGGAACTTCTGACCAAAACAACGTGATTAATGTCTCAGACAGCAGCCCTGCCCTGAGAGGTCTGAGCAGAAAGGCGGCAGCTGATGGGTGACAGAGACGGAGGGCACTGGAACATGGCCAAGGTGGAAAAGCGCCCTGACTTCAGTGGGAGCAAAACACTTGGAACAAGCTCACAAAAGGGAACACAGTGAGATAGTGCATGGCGATTTGGTTTTTTTTTTTTTCTTTTGCAGAACCGAAAATTGAACTCAGGCCCTTGCGCTTGCCAGGAAAGTGCTTATTCTACTGAGCCATCTCCCCGGCCCCACGTGGTGCTTTTTAAAAGGTCAGGTAGAACTTCATGCATTGAAATGCAGGTTTAAGAGTAAGAGACACAGAGACAGAAGCAAGCATAAATCCCACAAGCTCAGAGTCCTGCCCCCAGGGATCGCGTCAGGAAGATCCCGATGCCACCTGAAGCAGATGCAGGTGAGAATACCTTTAAGCAGACAAAGACAGAATACCTTTGCAACTCCCCATTCCTGGGCTTACCAAATAAAATGAACTCCAGCGCCAATAATCTGTCTCCCAACAATCCTACCTGTTCAATATTAGGTCATTCAAAAGTTAAACATCTAGAGAAAGTTGCATTCTAGAGAAACCTGCATCCCACGGTGGAAAAATCTGCCTATTCTGAGGAGAAACTCGCAGAAATTATCATACGAAATACAGAGGTTAGGAATCTGTAGTAGAGAGAAACCAAAATACATAAGATGTAATGGAAAAAGAGTTGGGATAAATGAAGAGGCATAATGTTGCTTTTCCAAGCAGTTAAACTGTCCTGCCCAATAAATTATTTCTTCCCTTGATTGAGTGAGAATGGTGCAGAAGAAAGGACCATGCCTTTAGTGGAAATGAACATATTCTTGGAATATTAAACATTTTCAAGAGAAATCCCAGATAGAAGGCAAAGATACAGCTAAGAACACTAGACCCTAGAACTAACATTGCTATCTTTGACTTGAGAAAACTGTGCATTGGTATATTTTTCTTTCTTATTGTAATTCTCTAAAAGAAAAAAAAATGGAGTTTCTCTCTTGGGTGTAATGTTATGGAATTTTCACGCAGACTTACAATCGCAATGCCAATCTGGCCTGTCCTTTAGACTCACAGCTGCCTGGGCCCCTGCCTGTCCCCTCTGATGACCACTGATCTATTATCTATGCTACTGTTTGGGGGTTTTGAGAATGCCTTACAAATGGAATCATTCAGTTATAACTTCCAGAAGCTGAGTCGCTGCACTGATGACAACACCTCTGAGCGTTCAGGCAGGTCACACCCGTGTCAGTATTCTGACTCTTTCTCTCGCGAGAGGAGTATTCCACGGAGCACACGTGTCAGCATTTATCTACTTCCCCGAAAGGACATTTGGGTCATTTCCAATTTTGAGCTCCACATCAAAGCTGTCATCATCATTTGTATGTACTATTAGTTATGGATGTACAACTTCATTCTCTGTGATAAATGCCTGGGAGTGGGACTGCCGGGTCATACAGTAAAGGACTGTTTAACTTTATACAGAACTGCTTCCCAAAGTACCTGGTTATTTTAGATTTCTACCAACCATCACAAAAAAATCCAGTTGTCCTACATCTCAGCTCTTGAGGCTGTCAGTGCCTTTAACTTAAAACATTCTAATAAACATGTAGGACTATCATATCAGGCCTTTAAATGTTCACTGGTGTTTGATATGGAAGCCTTTTGTCCGTATTTGCTATCATTACATATAGTTTAGCAAACTACTCTAAATTTTACTTAATTTATAAAAGTTAGGCTGTCTGATCTCTTATTCCAGAATTATAATACTTAGTCTTATATTCTAATTATAAGACCCTTGTTAAACACAATTTTCGAATATTTCTCCTTAGTTTGCAGTTTGGGGGGGGGTTGTTTCTGTTTTTTTGTTTTTGTTTTCTTTTTTCTTTTACTCTTCATGGTATTTCTTTGCATAATGTTAGTTTAAACTTTTACTTTTTAAGGCCAGGGAGATAGCTCAATAGAAAAAGTGCTTGCCTGGCAAGCGCAAGACCCTGAGTTCAATCTCCAGTACCGCAAATAAATAAATAAATAAACTTTTACTTTTTAAAAGTTTGATGACATTCAGCAAATCAATTTTATTCTTTTATGGAATTCA